CGCACTGAGTTTTTTTAAATATGAGCATGATAGTGTAGAATAATCATATCCAAGGACCAGTGGTGGGTTTCAAAAATTTTTGGAACCTCTTCTGTAGGTGTGGCCTGCTTTCTGGGTCCTCTGGTAGAACCTCTTCTAACGGGTTCGGTAGATTTGACGAACCGGTTCTACCGAATAGGTGCGAACTGGTAGGAACCCACCTCTGCGCTTGGGTTACCAGTTGTTTAATTTACCAATCATTCTCAACGCAGTTACTTCCCTTGGAAGAAAGTCCCAAATTCCCATATTGGAATTGCAACGTTCATTGCATAATATTCAGTTGGACTTGAAAGACAACCCTTACTCTGACTTTTTCACCATCCAAAATAACTATCTATTTGGCCACCATCTGAGTGCTCTTCCTCTTTTAGCTTGTGTGACTGAGCTTTGATAATAATTTAGAGTCAAGTAAAAGGCTTGTTCGCTCACGCAGCCATCACTCAAGAAAGAGGCCCTTTGGGGTCAGTTGAAAGAAGATACCAGTTTTTTGCCCTCACACATGTTGTTTGTGTTGATATAATGATGTGAGAATGACTTTGAGGGGGGGGGTCTAGGACTGCTCTCCTCATACCCTTCACCGCCCCTTGTTCACCCCCAGGGTTCTGTTCCAAACATTGACCTCTGCCATTTCGCCTCCGCTGAAAGGACCCTAGCTGTTCGCCCTGGGCAATGGGACCCAGCCTCTTTAATCCCAGAACATCCCTTATGGGCCATTTGGGGAAATACTGCTCATCCCAGCCTTTTGGGCTCAAGAGATAGTTGGCTGCCAGCCAATCGGAGGGAGGGAAGGGAGAAAGAGAGAGAGAGGGAGGGAGAAAGGGCTCCGTGTCGAGTTTCCTCTCTGGAGTTTGTTTCTCCACCCAGTTGCCTCATCCAAGCTAGAAAATCATTTGCACCCCCCTCCTCATCCGAAATTTGATAGGGCCACAGGAAAGTTAATTCAAAGGCTTTCCAAGCAAGTGGGGGGAAATCCAAAGGGTTTTCCAGCAAGGGGAGGTGGGGGTGAAATGCAACCTCCACACCCCAAAGTGGTTGTGTTTTCCTGTGGCCCTTGTATTGTCCTGTCACATTTAGGGTGGGAGGGATGCAGCTCTGCCCCCTCCCAATATATTTTAATTCCATAATACATTGAAATAAATCCATATATGTATGTAATCTCATCATCCACAAATTTGAAATCCCATTATTTTTGCATTCGTACTTTTAAGTTTATCAGAGCTTTGCAAGCATTGACAATGATGGGTAAGCAATATGGTAATTTATCTGGTTTGATTTTCTAAGTTAACATTATAGTTTATCTCTTCAAATGCTAAACAGTTTTGCAGCCNATACACATATACATATATACATAAACGTTGCCAATCTCAATCTTACATGGGAAAAGATCCAAATACAACAAGACCAGCATACCTACACCCATGAATGAATATATATATATATATATATATATATATATATCAGCACAAATACTGCACATATATGTGTGTGTGTGTGCACACGCGCGCGCACGCGTGCATGCATGCATGTATGTATACACACACACACACACACACACATATATGAGAGAGAGTATAATAGATGAGAAAGAGTGAGAGAGAGACAGAGAATGAGAATGAGAGAGACAGAGTCAGAGACAGAGATTGAAGGGAGGCATTTGAGTAGAAGTTAATTCCTGTGTCAGCAAACTGGCTGTTCAATGTGAAGAAAGCTCCCAGTTCTTTGGTGTCAATAATAAATCCTGAAGTTATGAAACTCACAGTTCCCAATCAGTGGGCAGATCGACTTTCTGCAACAGTAGATTCCCTAGAATCAGGCATTTATTCATTCCCAGTAATGGGCACAAAGTTGTCAATTCCCCAGCAAGGTGTGTGTATGTGGAGAGGAAAAAATGGGTACACATTCTCTCTCTTAAATTGAACACAACAGCATATATTGGAGTCGTATCATTTTATCCTCACAACCGCAACATTCCGGATGTGGAAGATAATCATGTCCATATCTTAGCCATGATCTCTGAGACATTCGTCATAGTTCTACTATTGTGAGTGACAATAGATGAGGGTGAAGACCAGTGGACCAACTGGCAGAACAAGCAAAAAAAGCTGTGTAGATCAGTCTCTAAAGGATTCTGTACTTTGGAGTGAGAAAACACCCCTAAAGGCAACTGAACCAATATGATTAGCTCAATAACATAGAATATTGAGGAAACTGGAGCTTCACCATATCTTTCTAGCATATAACAATCATGAGTCAAACCAGCACAGTAGAGGCTAGCGATCTTTAAAAACCCAGAAGGGGAAGACATATTAACTGAACTGAACTATTGGTTAGTCTGAATTGAAAGAAATTCATTGGTGAATGTCAACAAGCGAACTCTGTGGCCAATTAGGGACTTAAACCTGAGTCTCTCAACTTATCAGCTTAACATCCAGGCTACTCTACCAAGACAAATTGAAACATTTGAAATGCGGGAAGAAAAGTGCTAGCTCAAAATGACTCTTTTCTATTACTGCCAGCAGATCTCACCAACTCACCAAATAGCATTTTCCCATTTGTAACAAGGAGGTTTTGCAGTAATAGAAATTATCTTGAAGGATAACAGAAAAACCACAAAGTGGAAGGATGAGAAAACAAGTGGGAGAAATGGACAGGGTTAGGGTTGCAAATAACAGAGCTCTGTGTCAAAATTGCATTCAGTGTGAAATGGAGGATATATTTTTAAGGAGTTTTCTTTTTCTGAAAGCACATCTTTCAAAGCCCTTTTACCTAGACTTCTAAACCAAGAATGATATTAGAAGATTTTACTAGCAATGAAAATGTGTGGGTGTGTGGCAGTGGTGGGATTCAGCCAGTTTGCACCTATTCGGNAATCCACTTAACCTACCATACACATAGCCCTAAACTTATGACTATATTAAGACAAGAACTTCCATTACTAAGCAATGTGGTCATTAAGTGAGTTGAACCCAGTTTTAAGATTATTTTTTGTTCTGTTAAGCATATCCAGTTTCCTCCATTGACTTTATTTGTTGTAAGCATCTGAGAAGGTTGCAAAAGGTAGTCACGTAACCCTGGAAAACTGCAACTGCCATAAATATATGCAAATTGCCAAACACTTTAATGTTGATCACATGACCTTGGGAATGTTGCAATGGTTGTTAGTGTGAAAATCAATCACTTGATCAATCATCAATCACTTTTTTCAGCACCATCATAACTTCAAACAGTTGATGAGTGAATAGTCATAAGGCAAGGCTACTTGTATTTTTCAGATGGTCAACCCTGACTGCAGACTGCCCCAAAACTCTGCAACCTTCTCCGAATGAAAAACCTTACCTGCAGCGGCTCGGAGAGCAACACAATACTCAGAGTTCCAAAGATTGTTGGGTTCTCCATGCATCCAGTTCTTGTAATTGAAAACCGACTCATCAGTCCACCTCCAGTTCCCATTCTGAAATTACCAAGACAGACGAAGTACACACTAAATCTGAACAAAAGAACCATTAAGTCAACAGAGGTTAAATAGATGTTAGGAATGGGGGATTGATTTATTGATAGAGAAATCTGGAAGGTCTTGCTTACATGGCGAACATCATGGAGTCCAATCCAGACGTCAACCCCTTTTTCTTTCATATAATCAGAGATATGTTTGCATACAATTAATGTTTCCGGCCAGGTAAGGATAGAGGTAAGGTGGGTACCCCGGCCATAGCTTTGGCACCTGATCTGAAGACAAGAGGGGAGCACATGAGGCTGAGATGCGTCATCCATCCTATGTTCTTCACAACTTTCTTAGATATTTCACATCTTACCTCGGCCTCATGCCAACTCAGCTTCTCATGGAAGAGCCCATAACAGTTCCTCTGATATCGTAACCATTCCCTTGGACAGAATCCAGCATGAGAAACTGGGAAAGCTCAGTAGACATGAAAAGGCAGAAAGGGGATATGGTTATGTCATGACTATGAAATAAGTGAATGCAGGGAGGAGCTCAGTATCCCAATCTCTATAAAATTACATTTTCCCACTAAGCTCAATTGCTGTTATGTTGTTTATAATGGCGCGACATAGACACCATCTCAGGAGAAAAAGATATCAGCTATCTTAAAAACAAAGGGAGCAGGAAGATAACTTAAGATAGCAACTTTGTTTCTTTAAGCTAGTTGGGCCCAATGGGGAATTAGGAGGGTCCCTGTCCCCATTATTTATTAATCAATCAATCAGAATAGATCTGGATGGGACCTTGGAGGTCTTCTAGTCCAATCCAACTTCCTGCTCAAATTGAGACTATACAATTTCAGACAGGTGACTCTCTAGTCTTTTCTTAAAAACCTCCAGTGATGAAGCCTCTACAACTTCTGAACATCTGTTCCACTGGTTAATTGTCCTCACAGTTAGGAAGTTTTTCCTTAATTCCAGATTGCTTCTCTTCTTGATTAGTTTCCATTGTTTCTTTTCTAGCCTTCTGGTGGTTTGGAAAATAAGTTAACCCCTCTTTTTGGCAGCTCCTCAGATATTGGAATACTGCTATCATATCACCCCCTAGGTGTTTTTTTTTGTACCTTTATAAAATTTGCAAACATACCACAAAGAATGCATACTAAAAGCTAATATTCAGACATCTGATTTTTTAAAAAAATGCATGTAAATATAATTCTTTTATATACAGCTTAAACCCAAATTTACAACTGCATCATTTTCATGGAGGATGTGGCATAGATTGATCAGAGATTTGAGCTGTAGAACTTCAGCAAACTGAAAAGATGCCATATAAAACTGGTATCATGAATTCCCAGTGTCTTCAAAAAATAGAGCAGTTTTTAAAGGCTAGTTTCCATTAGAAATAGCTGGGAAATCCA